TCGTTGACAGATCTTTTACGGAGGTAGATTGCTGTAGATTGTCCCTGGGAGGATGTGTTCAGAGTCCTCCTAGCCACCATTTTGGACCCCTTGTCTTCCATTTTTCTCTTGCGCCTCCTCCAATCTGATTCTCATTCCCAGCAGCCTATAGAAACACTCTTGCCAGTTCACCTGTGCCCTTGTTGTTTCCTGTGCCTTTAATAAAAATCTTTTCAGCAGAAGGTCAAGGAAAAATAAAGAATAACTTTTCTGTAGTAAGTAAATTTATCCTCATGACAAAGGATTCTGGAGGTTGTAAAACAGAAGCTAAAGGTTTTCATTTGGGGCAGTATTCTATCATTGTATTCTATAATGCATAATACGGTGTGAGAATATGCATTTTTATAGTATAGCTGATTGTTTTAGGTGTCTTTTTTTTTTTTTTTTCAAACTGTAAGAGGAAGTTTATTTAGAAAGTCACAGAGGTAGAAGTGAGAAGTAGAAGAAATGGGCTCAGGAAACAAGTTACAGAGGCAAAAGAAGAGGCCCATGGAGCTTAGGAGAAGGAGAGTTACGGTAAGGCACCCGGTGCGGGGTGGAGAAGAGGAGGGGCATGGGAAAGGTGCAGGCCCACTCCCCAGAGGAAGAGGGCCTAGGTGTGCATTTAAGGAGAGTGTATGTTAAGGTTAAAACTTTTTTTTTAATCCTCACTCGAGGACATTTTTCCATATTTTGGTCAGATAGAGTGGGAGAGAGAGAGAGAGAGAGAAACATCGACATGAAAGGGACACGTCGAGTGGCTGCCACCCGCACAACCCAACCAGGGCTGGGGACAAACTGCAACCGAGGTACGTGCCCTTAGCGGGAACCGAACCCGGGTCTCTCTGGACCACAGGCCAATGCTCTGACCACTGGGCAAAACCTTTTGAGCACTAGTTCCCTGAAGGAGACCAAAAATTTTGCCTTTTGGGATATTGATTTTTAAGCTGGTTATTAAGAAAGAAACTTTGACCCTTTGCCTTTGCTGCCTAAGAGATTCAGATGGAAAGACCTACTCTAGGAAGGAAATTTTAGAATGTTCACCTTAACAGATTAATTTGAATTCATTATGGATGGTGGATGGGAGGACATCTAGCAGTGGCCTATTTGTGAGATTACCCTGTGTCTCATTATTTCTGGGTTGCCTAGCAAAAATTTACCTGCCGTGTATGTTTCTCTCTTCCTCAACAACCTGTAAATTGCCTTCTTCTATTGAAAGCTCAGACCCGTACTCCCCTTTACTCCTTTGTCTAAATTAACATATACACTTTCAAATTAACAATTTCACTTCACGATCTTTGGAATTTTCATGATTATATAAATTCCCCATGTGCATGTGTTAAAATTTGATTTTCTCTTGTTAGTTTAGTAGCCTATCTAGAACTTAGAAGGTGGAAGGAAAAGTACTTTTTTTCTTAGCCCTCACACCACAAATCCTGCAATCCAATTAAGGAAAGCTATTTACCATCTCAGTGTATCCAGTTAGCTTTTGAAAGGTAGATTCACATTTCTTTTTTTTTTAAGATTTGTTTTTTTGTATCCTCACCCGAGGACATTTTTTTTAATTTTGATATTTTGTTCAGATAGAGTGGGAAGGAGAGAGAGAGAAACATCGACGTGAAAGGGACACATCGAGTGGTTGCCACCCACACGACCCAACCAGGGCCGGGGACAAACTGCAACCGAGGTACGTGCCCTTAGCGGGAACTGAACCCGGGTCTCTCTGGACCGCAGGCCAACACTCTAACCACTGAGCAAACGGGCCAGGGCAGATTCACATTTTGGACAAACTAGGACCCTACTACTTGATAAGCAGATGTTCACATTCACAGCTCACCACATTCTGCCCTAGCTCTATCTGTCTGGCTTTATCTTCTAGAATTCTCCCCACAAACTCTTTATTGTAGCTAAGCTGGTTTATTTTCTGTCCCCAAGTTGTAAAATGGGCATTTATATTTCTAAGATTTTGCTAAGACCACTGTTCTCTAAAATATTCCCTTCCTTTCCCTCTGCTTGTCCTTTAAGACTTGAAATTCTATTTCATTTGTTTATTCCGTAGACACCAACTGAGTGCCTAGCATACGCGATATACTGTCAGGAATGCTCGGGTACAAAAAACAACAACAACAAAAAACAACAGCCTGTCCTTATGTATTTATATTCTAGCAGGAAAATGACACATTACAAAATGAATTAATTTTTTTTTTTTTGAGTGTTCATTCCAGTATTGCTGGCAGTATGGGAGAGCAGTTGGTCATCCCGCAAAATCTGCTCTGCCCCCTCACTTGCCTACTGCTTTTATTTTCTAAACTTATCTTTATTGTTGAATGTATTATAGATGTTCCTTCTTTTTCCCCTATTGACCCCCCTCCTCCCCTCTCCTGCCCCCCTCCCGCCTTTCCCCACACTGTTGTCTGTGTCCACTGGTTATGCATGTATGCATATAAGTTCTTTAGTTTATTTATCGCCCCCTTCCCTTTGAGGTTTCTCAGTCTAACAACCAATTTGTACTTCTTCTTTAAAAAAATTTTTTTTTCTTTATTGATTTTAGAGAGAGAGGAAGGGAGAGGGAGAAAGAGATAGAAATATCAATGAGAGAGAACACTGACTGGCTGCCTCCTGCATGCCCCCCACACTGGGGATTAGGCCCACAACCTGGGCCTGGGCCTTGACCAAGAACCAAACCTCTTGGTGCATGGGTCAACATTCAACCATTGAGGCACACCAGCCAGGCCCAATTTGTACTTCTTAATTCCTTCACCTTTTCCACCCATCCTCCCAACCTCCCTCTCATCTGGCAACCAACAAAATGTTTTCTGTATCTATGAGAATGTTTCTGTTCTGCTTGTTCATTTTGTAGATTCAATTGTTGATAGTTGTGTATTTATTGCCATTTTGTTTGTTCATTTTTTTATCTTCTTTTTCTTTTTCTCTTTTTTTCCTCATCTCAAAAATAAATGTTGAAGACCTTCAACATTTCGTATAATACTGGTTTGGTGATGATGAACTCCTTTAGCTTTTTCTTGTCTGGGAAACTCTTAATATGGCCATCGATTCTAAATGATAGCTTTGCAGAATAGAGTAATCTTGGTTGTAGGTTCTTGCTTTTCATCACTGAATATTTCTTGCCACTCCCTTCTGGCCTGCAATGTTTCTTTTGAGAAATCAGCTGACAGTTTTATGGGAGCTCCCTTGTAGGTAAATAACCCCTTTTCTCTTGCTGCTTTTAAGAATTTCTCTTTGTCTTGAACCTTTTGCATTTTGATGATGATGTGTCTAGGTGTGGACCTCTTTCGGTTCATCTTGTTTGGGACTCTGTGCTTTCTGGACTTGTATGTCTGTTTCTTTCACCAAGTTAGGGAAGTTTTCTGTCACTATTGTTTCAAATAGGTTTTCAATTTCTTGTTCTCTCTCTTCTCCTTCTGGCACCCCCATGATGTGAATGTTGGTATGCTTGAAGTTGTCCCAGGGGTTCCTTACACTATCCTCATTTTTTTGGATTCTTTTTCTTTTTGCTGTTCTGATTGGGTGTTTTTTGCTTCCTTATATTCCAAATCGATGGTTTGCTTCTTGGCTTTACCTACTCTACTATTGAATATCTGTAAATTTCCTCCCTCCCTCCCTTCCTTCCTTCTCTTTCTTTTTTATCCTCACCCAAGGACATTTTTGCATTTTTAAAAATTTTCAGATAGAGTGGGAGGGAGAGAGGGAGGAAGAGAGAGAGAGAGAAACATGGATGTGAGGCAGACAGACCCCAACTGGGGCCAGGGATAAAATTCAACTGAGGTACATGCCCTTAGTGGGAACAGAACTCGTACTTTCTGGGCCCCGGGCTGACACTCTAACTGCTGAGCCAAACTGTCAAGAGCCACCCTTTTCTTATTTATAATCAAGAGCTCAAGATCCCATTGTCTTATACACATAGTTCCACATTATTTCCCCTCACACACATTTACACTTGAAACCTTGTCTACTCTCACAGCTTCATGAAAAATTCCTGATAGATGAGCACTGTCTTCTCATCAGTTTACTTGTGATAGCACTTAGAAAATGTTTCTAAAAAACATTACTTCACTTAACTATGTCCATCAGTTAGTTTCCTCAGAGATGTGGATGTGATACTGTGGACAGTGCCAAGTAAGGGTGATCACATGGGTGGGTTCAGAGTCTGTGATAAGTTTGGGGATGTGGGGTGAAGGTGAACAAGAGAAAAGTGAGGTACCTTCCTTCAAAGAAGGTGGCTTTTGTAAAAATGCCACCCTTGACTTGCAAAGCTCATATGACTCTCCCTACAGATGTGGTTAGTTCATTCAATGAAAAGCTATTTCAAAAACAATTGTCATGCTTTATTAAGGACAAACATGTTTGGAACGTAACCTATTTATAAATCCTTGGAAACAAAATAGTCACGGTTGTTTATTGTCCAACACCAAGCACACTGTCCTTGGAATGACATTAGATCTCATTCTAACCCTCTTGATTAAAGGTCAACTATGGGTGTCTTTGCAATCCGTCTCAACCCTTCTCACATTTACTAGCCAAAACATGTTAATATTAACTTTTCAGGGACCCTGCGAGTCCCCGGGAAGGGCGCTGTCCGGCAGTCTGGAGCCCCCCCCCCCCCCGTCGCCGGCCTAACACAGGCTAGGAGGAGGAATCCAGGGGGCAGCCTGCAGCTTCCCAGAGAGTGGAGGCAACGAGCAAGTCAGCCTCAGCCGGACAGAGTGCCGAAGGACGGTGCTGCACCGCGCAGGGCCGCTCTCAAAGTTCCAACCAAAAAACCAAAACAGCCGCGGACCTCCGCTGCCCGGAAGCAGCAGCACCGACCCGGCCCAGTGGCGCATGCGCATTCTAGAGGCCTCGGCGCGAGGCGGGGACGGGGAGAGAGCGGGGGACAGGGAAGGAAGGGCGGTGGTTGGGCGAGGAGGAGGCCACGCCCATCGCGCCAAAGTCTCTGCGCATGTTCCGTACGTCAGCTTCCAGTACTTTCGATGCGTCAGCCGACGCCCAGCTTAGTTCCCGTCCGGACGTCGGAGGTGAAGGTTAGGAGTTCGCTGTAGAGCGGCCGTGGCAGTCCCCTCTTCGTCCGCAGCAGTCCAGGGAAGGCGTCCGCTGGCCCTTTCTCTTCGTCTTAAGCCATCGGCGGCCGGTGGTAGGTTTTCTGGCGGCGGGGTCGGACCCGCGGGAGCCTCAGCGTGGGTGGAGGGAAAGTGCGGGGCCCCGTGGCGCACAAAGGGAGGAGGCGCTGTCTGGGCGGGAAGGCCGGCGTCTGGCGCCGCTCCCGGAGCTGGCCGGCCTCGTAGACTTCCTCGAGGCACCTCCCCCACAGGCCCGCCTGCCTTACTTCCGGGACTTCACGCCTCCCCTCCCCCCCCGTTTGCTTTTAGGAACCGAGTTTTCGGGAAGGATTCTCTTAGATTCAGAAGCTTCCTACCGCAGGCCCAGATGTCAAACTACGTGAACGACATGTGGCCGGGCTCGCCGCAGGAGTCCCCGTTGGCCTCGGGCCGGTCCAGCCGGCTGTCCTCGGAGACCCGGAGCCGCTCTTCCAGAAGCTCGCGGTCCCGTTCCAGCGAGGCCAGTCGGTGGTCGTCCAGGAGTGGGAGCCGGCCCCGGCGCCGGTCCCGGTCTCGATCACGACGGCGCCACCAGAGGAGGTACAGGCGCTACTCGCGGTCTTACTCGCGGAGCCTGTCGCGGTCCCGCAGCCGCCGCCGGCACCGGGAGAGGCACTACTGCTCCTCCCGGAGGTACTACCGGTCTCCCTCGCCGGACCGATCCCGCAGCCGGTCCCGCTCTCGGGGACGGTCATACCATCGGAGGGCCAATGCGGTCACGCGGGTACGGCGCTACTACGGCTTTGGTCGCACGGTGTACCCGCAGGAGCACAGGAGTTGGCGGGGAAAATCCAGGTCGAGGTCGCGGAGTCCAACGCCCTTTCGCTTAAGTGAAAAAGGTGAGTCGAGAGGTGTACAGTTAACTTTTCCCTTGGTACCTTTTTACACGTTGTTAAGTAGTTCCTGATAGTTTTACTTTTTTGGTTTGTGAAATCTTAATAGCTTTGTTGGGAGGAAGGGGGAAGGAGGACATTAGCAGGCTTACAGGTAAAACTACACTACAGCCCAGCCGGTGTGGCCCCGTGGACTGAGAGCTCCTGGTTGGGGCACATGGCCTGGGTTTCAGGCTCGATCCTCAGTAGGGGGCGTGCAGGAAGCAGCCGACGGATGTATCTTGCTCATATCAGTGTTTCTCTCTGCCTTCCTCTCTCTCTAAATAGTCAATAAAAGCGTATTTTTAAAAATACACTACAGTTGCCCTGGCCGGTTTGGCTCAGCGGTTTAGAGCGTCGGCCTGCGGTCCGGAGAGACCCGGTTCGGTTCCCGTTAAGGGCATGTACCTCGGTTGCAGTTTGTCCCCGGCCCTGGTTGGTTGCGTGGGTGGCAGCCACTCGATGTGTCCCTTTCATGTCGATGTTTCTCTCTCTCTCTTCCTCTCCCTCCCACTCTATCTGAACAAAAAATGGAAAAATGTCCTCCGGTGAGGATTAAAATAAAATAAAATAAAAATACACTACAGTTGACACCCAGTTTTTCAGTGACACTATTTGTTTCCCCTTGGGATTAAGCTGTAAGTGGAATAATCTTTGCTCCTGGTGGCGGGCACTTCTTAGTGGAGCCTTGTAAACGTTAGTGATTTAGTTGTGTACCCACCCTGTTTAAGTTCATTGTTGAATGGGAAGAAAAGGATCCAAACATTACTTTTTCAAAATTTAATGCTGCTTTATTGGGGGAAAATTGGATTTTGTTCCAGCATTTAAATTTTTTTATTACTTATTTTAGAAAGAGGAAGGGAGAGGGGGGGAGAGAGATGGAAACATGATGAGAGAGAACATATATTGGCCGTGGAGGTTTGGCCTACAACCTGGGCATGGCCCTAACCCGGAAGGCAACCTCTTGGTCAACACTCAAACCTTTGAGCCACACTGGCTGGGCTGTTCTAGTATTTTAAGACAAATGAATTCCAGGATAGGATCATGGGAGTTACATAAAAAAACAAACCCAGAATAAACTTGAAGTCTTAAAATTGATTAATTTATCAATGTTGGTTCCTTAGTTGTGACAGTTATGCTGTATTAAAAAATTTTTTTACAAAAACAATTGGTTTTCAGAATATATTTGAAGAGAAAGCAAAAACAATGAAAAATTCGGGCCTTGGTAAGGAAAACTGTTGAGATTATTTAGGGATTCTTATTTTTCTTAGCAAATAAGGTAGAGAAATTTTCCATGAATAAGGATATATTTTACACATGAAAATGAAATATTAAACATTTTTGTTTGGCTATTCTAAATAAAATGCAAGCTTATTTTGTGATTTTTGAGACCTCTTGTGGAATGCTGTAAGATTAAAGAGTGCTTTGTGTTTCTTTTTTAGATCGAATGGAGCTGTTAGAAATAGCAAAAGCTAATGCAGCAAAAGCCTTAGGAACAACCAACTTTGAATTGCCCCCCAGTCTCAGAATTGTTCCTGTATCTAAAGAAAGAAACGGTGAAACGGCTGTACTAAAGAATGGTGCAAAGTTTGAGGTAAGCATTCTAGGTTTTTCCAGACAAAGTCTTCAGAAAGCTACTCCCAGAAAGATCTATAGCATTTTTATTTGATTCCACTTCTTGGAAAGGCTAGCTAAATACGATTTGTTAAAATCAAAAGAGCAGATCAGACAGTACTAGACATAGTCTCGCCCATAAAAATGGGAGAATTTTCAGTTGACACAGAATTAATTGCTTTCATGATTGTAGCTGGTACTTAGGCGATTTCCAAATTTTTCTAACTAGTCTTTTAACAGAGTATCTGTAATTTTCATTTGCAGCACTATGTTCCCAGAAATTCTGTATTCAACATACAGTATAGTTTATCTGCTTTATTTCTGTCTTATAGAAATCATGAATGTGGTCTCCAGGCATTGCTGAAGAAAATCTGTTGGTAATTGATACATGGGCATAAGCATCAGAGGTTTAACTAATATGAAGTTTATGTTCATACACTGAAAGCTTAGTTGTTGGTAGTTCCATGTGCATGCTAGAATTTGGTATAGGTACTATTTGGGTAAGATACTGAAGACAGTTTTTAAACTAAAGCGTACTTTGTAATGTTGGGGCATCTGTGATAGAGGTGTCCATTTCATAATATATGCAATATATTCCAGATGTTTTTGAGAGATTACAGAAGAAGAGGCCTGCTTCACTTGCAGATAAGTTTGTAATTCCCTGGAAACGTGCAGGTTGTGCATTGGCAAATTGCACTGTGCTTTTTATAAGTTAATTATATTGAAACTCAAAGCATAAAATCCATAGCTTTAAAGGTTTAAGGTACTTAGGAATTGATAGTTTAAACAGAAAAGATTTTACCTAGATGAAGCTATCATTCAGACCCAGATATGGGTATGCTTACATATTAGTAATAGACAATTAAATCTTAGTTGAATTGCTTTTTCAGGTGATTAGATGCCCGACTGGGCTAATGCCTTAGTTCAGCGATTTTCAACCTATTTTTATCTCATGGCATACATAAACTAATAACTAAAATTGTGCAGCACCCTTGAAAATATATTTTTTTGCTGATCTGACCAAAAAAAGGTATAATTTTAATTCATTCATACCAGATGGCCATTGTTGGTTATAGCCATTTTTTAATTTGACAATCTAAGGGAAAAGAGGTCAGTGCCCCTGGCTTAAATAGTCAGGTATTGCATCTTTTAAAAATTCTTACAACACACCATTTGAAAATCACTGCCTTAGTTCTTTGAAACTAGGTATTTTCTGGTATGACTTGACTTTCAAAGTTACTTGAATTTGTATTTGGGAATACAATACAGCGTTATGGGGGAGTGTGTCTTTGTCAGGCCCATTTGTTGCATACAGAGTTGTTTAGACTGTTAACTGTATGGTTAGATCCAACTTGATTTGTTGTATCTCTGCAGATAATTTTATGTACAGTTGGGCTGCTTTGTATACGGTACTGCAAACCAAAGATAGGTTTTTAAAAAAAAAATTTTTTTTTCTCTTCCTGTCTAGCTGTCCGAAAAGCTAACAGAAGATGGAACTAAAAATGCCAATGAAAAGTCTTCCCAGCAAAAAAGCATTAGCTTAAATGTAAGTATAAGCACTGACTAAAAAATTGGACTTGGAAAATATATCCGTTATGTGGGCTTTTATTTTTGTTGGAAGGCTCATTGTTCTGTCTTTGCCATCACAGTTGGCCTACTAAGCCATTTTATAGAATTACTCTTACATATTTTTGTGCCACTTTTATATAATGGACTTTTTCTTTCTTTTTTTTTTTTTTTTAGGGGGGGAGAGCTATCAATGGGCTGCCTCTTGCACAAGGATGGAAACTGACAGCCAACTGAGCCACACCCTCCAGGGCTTGTTATTCTTTTTAATATTTAACTATTATAACATGCCCTGTGTGTGTCTGATTTTACCTGGCACTTTCTTGGCCCTAACAGTTTGAGTCAGGTTAAAGATGAGGTCCACACTTGGCATTTGGCTGGCGTTTCCTAAGTTCCAATCTGAAATGGAATTCTTTAATGCATTGTAAAAAGCAATATTTTAAGGTATTAAATGTATGATGTATGTGTCTGGGAAGCTGACTTAAAAATTTGTTTTCTTACAGAGTTCTGAAGCAAAGCCAGTGCTTCAAAAATCAGCTAAAGCTACTGCTGAAGAGACCTCTTCAGGATCCCCAAAAATAAATCAGAAAAAAAGTCCATATGTATTGTGGAAACCTGTTTAAAAAAAGGAAACTGATGGCTAAGGTTGCCTGAAATGCACTTTATTGCAAGTTGGTGTTTCCTGTAGCATTATTTCATTCCTGTGAGCAATTTAGTGGTAATTGTTAACATTGTAGATTTCTCTTGCAGATAAGAGATCTAGCACAGATGGACCAGAGAGTATGTACAGGTGTGAGTTTTGTATATATACTTGTAAATATTTTGTGTAATATCAATTGGTTATATAGAAATGAAATTTATAAGAAACAGTAATTAAACTGTTGTGTATGTATTTTTGTTAATAAATTGTTTTTACTATTTTAGTCTCATTTTATTATGCGTATTACACAATGCCATGTTACATCATGCTTACATTTCAATTGCATCATTTTCTCTTGTGCTTGATTTAACATCGTGTTTTGTACAGTAGCACGGTATACAGATTTCTAGCCCAGGAACACTTGGCTATACTGTATAGCCTAGTTGTGGGCTGTACAATCTAGGTTTGTGTAAATTACCTCCATTTGCACAATGACGCGCATTCCTCAACACATTCATGTGGTTTAAGCATCTCGTGACTGGATTGTTCACAGATTATATAGTAACAGGGTATCACACCTAAGCGATTGTATTCCACTTAAGTAATGGCAGCAAGTCTGGGGGTATACACTGTTATCTCTTCTGTGTTACAAAGCATAGGAGAGATTAAACATAGTACTGGCCAGGCCGAACTAACAAGACAAGGATGGGGCAGTTATGGAGAAAAAAATGAGTATAACTATTATTTTCAGGATACTGTGAGGTAAAGAGAAAATAGGCCAGTAGGCTAAGAGAAATTAAATAGGGACGTCTCAAGTATATTAATAGGCTGCAGTCTCCTTCAAAGCTATAGTGAGGGTGACTCAGATCACAGTAGAAGTGAAATCTCAAGTAGCACATACATAGCAACTAGCCAGACCTTAAGGGGTTTGGATGATGTCATTTAGCTGTCAAGTGGCTTATATTTGAACACAGGTCATAATCAGAGTGGGTGCATTCCAGTGAAAAAAGTTCAAATCTTAACAAGGAAATCCTTGAGTTACGCAACTTTATACAAAGGCAGAAATACCAACTAATACAGCGTGTTCAGGTTAACCACATTTTCAGTTAGAAATCAAAACCAACCAATCCTTGTTTTCTCCAACTTTGTTGTAACTAGGCCAGTCTACCAAAATTAGTATTCTCAGGTCTCTCAGAATAAAGATGAACCTAACCATGTAAACTTTCTTACTCCTTTAGGAGCACAAATATAAAAGTGACAGTGAATGGGACCATTCTTGAAACTAATATTTCAAATGTTTCTCAACTTCTATCCAGTTGCTATACTTCAAGATCATAAAGTTAATTTTGTCACTCGACATGAAATCAGTATGAAAACTTGTTGCATTTGTGGTACTTACTAAGTCTGAACATCCTATCATTTTCCTCTGTGTGAGGCACACAGATTCCAAGAAGGAGACTGTTAATTGTTGGGCCGACCTCTCCACTAAGAGCAGGTGATGAGTAAAGATCCTATACTTTAGAGTTGGACAATGTAAAGTAAAAAATAGAAAACAGCCCTGGCCGGTTTGGCTCAGCGGTTAGAGCGTCGGCCTGCGGTCCTGAGAGACCCTGGTTCGGTTCCCGCTAAGGGCACGTACCTCGGTTGCAGTTTGTCCCCGGCCCTGGTCGGTTGTGCGGGTGGCAGCCACTCGATGTGTCCCTTTCACGTCGATGTTTCTCTCTCTCTCCCTCTCTGTTCCTCTCTCTCCCTCCCACTCTACCTGAACAAAAAATGGAAAAATGTCCTCCGGTGAGGATAAAAAAAAAACAAAAAACATTGGCATCATATCTGATTTTAAAGAAATAGAATTCAAACTTGAAAAAAACATTTTTAAATCCTCACCCAAGGATATTTTTAAGTTTATCTTCAGAAAGAGTTCTGGGGGACAGACATCAATGTGAGAGAAACATCTACTGGTTGCCTCCGGCATAAGCCCTTCCCTGACCAGGGCCAGAACCTGAACCACGACCGACCTAGACCTAGGTTATGTGCCTTTGACCAGAATTGAGCCCTGGTCCACAGGTTGTCGCTCCAACAGCTGAGTCAAACTGACCAGGGCGAAAAAAGATTAAAAAAAAAATCATCTACTCCAATGCACATATGAGCTAGCTGAGGATCGGCTACTGACCTCATCCAACAAAGTTCACACAGTGAGAGAGCTTGAATGAGAACACACTATGCTCTGCACAATCTATAGCTCTTTCCACTCTACTATTGGTACTAAAATATTTATGATCTTAATTTAAACACATTACCTACCTTAAACATAATTAAGGAAAGAAAGTACATTTTAGCATTGCTTATTGCACGTGACGAAAGTAAATAGCCTTCATAGGTAAGGGACACAGTAATAGTAACTTATAATCATGATAATAACACTGCCTACTATCTGCCAAACATTAAGTGCATTGTATGAATTCATTTAATTTTTACAATAACCCTAGGTAAGCACTAGAAGAAAAATTGTGTGACACAGGAAGTGGTAGAGTAGGATTGATGGCCAGGAAGCAAAACTTCAGAATTATCACTCAAATTTAAGTCCTTTCAGTAACAGAGTATGCTATTAAATCAAATCAACTTAACTTTTTTTCTCTCGTATGCTTCCATGTCAGGTTTGATCTGCTTGGTCAACTGGTGTGGCACACCTGGGCAGCAGCATAATTAAAAATAAAATGAGAACCACAGACTATTTTAAATGTTCAGGCATTATTAGATCAGCTATTAAGTGGGTCATTAATGGGCCCATTCAGTAAAGTAAAAGCCAACTATTTGAAAATCCCAGATCAGGAGTTTTTTTCTCTCGCATCTTTCTACATCTGCGCTGATTTCCAGTAGTTTCATTTTCTTATAGACTTCCCTTTTTTAAAAAAATATTTTTATTTTTTTTTTATTTTTATCCTCAGCCTAGGACATTATTGCATGTATCTTCAGATAGAGTGGGAGGGAGAGAGGGAGGAAGAGAGAGATAAACATTGATGTGAGAGAGACACATCAAGTGGTTGCCACCCACATGTCCCCAGTTGGGGCTGGGGACAAACTGCAACCGAGGCATGTGCCCTTAGTGGGAACTGAACCCAGGACTCTCCGGTCCACAGGCCGATGCTCTGACCACTGAGCAAAACTGGCCAGGACTAGATTTCCCTTCTTGTTGTCCATTCCTAAAAGGAGGGGGGAAAACCATCAGCTCTATTACCTTATGTAATTCCATGACTCCTTCGATATCAAGAAAGGGCTAAAGACTTCCATCAAGACTATAATTTGACTAACAAAATTGTGGAATTTGCTATGATCTGTAAGAGGTAGTATACCTGTAACACTGACACCAAAAATAGCCGTGGTGGACACATTACATATCCACTCCTTTCTGGGCTCATGACTGCCCATTTCCCAACCTCCCTTGCAGTTGGATCAGGCTAGTTGACATGAGTTCTCAACATACGGAAGTGATGAGGGCTGCTTCCAAGTCCAGACCTAAAACCATGGCTGTGCCTTCTCTACACCATTCTTCTTCCTTCTGGCTGGAACTTGCAACCACTTAGCTTTGCCCACACAGACACCTACTATGCACTAGGAACTGGTGGAGCAACAACGGAGTGAACAATTAAATGGAACAGAGCTGCTCCTTTGTCTTGGGCTGTTCACCTGAGACCTGATACATGATAGACTATTTTTTATTTCTTACTGTTGGAGCTGTTGTTACTGTAGCTTAGCCTTTAAAAAAAAAAATTAGAAAAAAAAAAATTAGCCCAGCCATTGTGGCTCATTGGTTGAGCATCAACCCATGCATCAAGAGGTCACTGGTTAGATTCCTGGTCAGAGCACATGCCCAAGTTGTGGGCCCAATCCCCAGTGGGAGGCATGCAGGAGGCAGCCAACTGATGTTCTCTCTCATGGATGTTTCTATCTCTCCCTTCCTCTCCCTCTCTCTCTAAAAATCAATAAAGAAAAAAAAATGAGGTTACATTGTTATTTATTTATTTATTTATTTTTAGTCCTCACCAGAGGATATTTTTCCATTTATCTTTAGATAGAATGGGAGGGAGGGAGGGAGGGAGGGAGAGAGAAACATGGATGTGAGTGAGACACATCAATTGATTGCCTCATGCACACACCCCAATGGCCCGGGAACTGAACCTGCAACCCAGGTACATGATCTTAACCAGAAACTGAACCCATAACGCTTCAGTCTATGGGCTGACACTCTAACCACTGGGCCACACAGGCCAGGGCTAGCTTAGCCTTTTACTCTAATATCCATTGCTTGTGTGGCTTGAACTATGTGCCAGGCACTGTTCTAAATGTTTTACATATTCTCACAGCTCTCTGAGGTACAGATGAGGAAACCAGAGCCAGAATGCTTGACTACCAGGCTGCATACTGTCTCAACAAAACACAATATAATATTTGAATCTATATCTTATGAGGATGGTATGACTTGTATTTACCTTTCCTTTTTCTTTTTCCCACAATTCTCATTCCAAAAAAACTTTTTTGGCTTCCCAGTTTGCAGGTAATTTAAGTCTTTTATCTTATTCAACCACTTCCTGCTGATTTAATTTTCAAACTTCATTCTACCACGAGGACAAATCGAGTTTGTTAGCATAGATATGAAAATAAATCCAGCCCTGGCCGGTTTGGCTCAGCGGTTAGAGCGTCGGCCTGCGGTCCGGAGAGACCCGGGTTCGGTTCCCGCTAAGGGCACGTACCTTGGTTGCAGTTTGTCCCCAACCCTGGTTGGGTCGTGTGGGTGGCAACCACTCGATGTGTCGCTTTCACGTCGATGTTTCTCTCTCTCTCTCTCCCACTCACTCTATCTGAACAAAATATCGAAAAATGTCCTCGGGTGAGGAAAATAAATCCAAATAGATGTTTCTTGCCTTCCTGTATGACAGGCCATCCAAAAGCAGACTTTTGGATTTTATTGTAGGAGAGATGAAGTATACAACTGTATTATGTCTGTATTATTTTACTGCCTCAGAGAACAACGTGGTAAGGATGGAAAGAGCAATTGTTCGGGAATAAGAAGGTCAGAGGGATATACTGACTTGACTACTCAATGGCTGTGTGATGTAAAGAAGTCTCTTAGGTTTGGTTTGAAACAGGGTGTCTCAAAGTAAGAGTTTCACTGTTCAGAGGTACTCCAGAGGATTGTAGATGCTACTGAATGACTATCACATACGGACAGACAAAGGTGCAGGGGGCCTGGCCAGGTGACAGGTTTCAGTTCCCAGAATTGCTGCTTCCAGGGGCTGTTTCTCCTCTGAGCTCTCCACCTGCACTTGAGGCAAGGAGGACTGGCTGGAGGTGGGGCAGCTCTGCTTCTGCCTACTGCCCAGCAAGAACCACCTAGATGAGCCATAGGGGCTGCACTGATGTTCAGTCCTACCAGTTACACCAATACAGTGTGTTGTTAAACTTTTAGATTTTTGCCCTATTATCTTCCAGTTCCCCATACAAAAAGAATAACCCACTGAGATTCTGATGGGAATAACATTACACTTAGACTCACTTACATACTCTTTTTGTGATACTCTGTTTTCATATTGTCTTCCAACCAGAAAATCCTTCACCTATTCAAACTTAATTTTTTTATACTTCAAATTATTTTGTGCCTTTCTTCATGTTACCATTTAAACTTTGCCCTGGCCAGTTATGCTCAGTGGTTAGAGAGGGGAGAGCGTTGGCTGCAGACTGAAGAGTCGCGGGTTCAATTCCCCACCAAGAGTATGTACCTTGGTTGCAGGTTCAGTCCAGGGTTCGGTAGTGGGGGAGGCAACCAATCCATGTGAGACACATCCATGTTTCTATCTTTCTCCCTCCCTCCCGCTCTATCTAAGAATCATTGGAAAAATAGCCTCGCGCCCTGGCCGGTTTGGCTCAGCGGTTAGAGCGCCGGCCTGCGGTCCAGAGAGACCTGGGTTTGGTGCCCGCTAAGGGCACGTACTTTGGTTGCAGTTTGTCCCCGGCCCTGGTTGGTCGTGCAGGTGGCAGCCGCTCGATGTGTCCCTTTCATATCGATGTTTCTCTCCCTCCCACTTTGTCTGAACAGAAAATGAAAGAATGTCCTGGGTGAGAATAAAAAAATATATATATATATCCTCGGGTGAGGATTTAAAAGAAAGAAAATTTATACCTAGGTATCTTATTTGGGGGCTTACTTTTTCATTTATAGATCGAATTGGTGGTTACTGGTGCAGAAAAAAAATACTTTTCATACATTCAGCACCTTACTCTATTAACTTAAGCATTGTTACTCCTTCTGGCAGCTTCCCTGTCGGACACGGACGAGTCAACAGGATGGACGCGTCTGCGCTCCTGCAGTTCTCGTCGCTGATGCGGGAAACGGAAAACGAACAAAGAGAAGTATCTTGAGCAAATTAAAATGGGGCCTTAAGACAGTAGTAAGGGCCTACGTGAGACAAGCTAGTCAGGCGAGAGCTGCCTCAGAGTAGGTGGCACTCTAAGCACTGTCCACTCAAGGGAGCAGCGCGGAGTTGACGCGACTTCCTACTAGGCTCAGGGTCTGCCATTCCTCCTCAGCCATCCCTTCCCAGCGCTTTCAGCCCTTCTTTCTCCCCGTCCCCTTCCCCTCGGCCTTCTGCGGCTGCGCAAGATCCTGCCCAATCGAAAACAACTCACTGCTAGAAGGAACAGGGATTGGTAGCAAGCTCCAGGAAAAGGCGGGGCTTACCGTAGATTATTAATATCTATCGGAAAGCCTACGGAAGTGCTGTGTTATTGCCGGAAGTGGGGAGAGGAAGGTTGTGATGGCGGCTGCGGCTCTAACTGAGAAGGTAAAGTGCCCCTGGCTATACCCAGGGGTGTTCGTAGGTGAGGGTTCCAGGGGGCGGCAGGGGCGAGAGGTGGAGGGGATGCCTCGGTGCCGGGCCAGGGAGGAATAGACAATGTGGGGTCGGGGTTGGCAGTGCGGGCCCAACGCGGCCTGTCAGGACCGTCGGGGAATCGGCCTTGGCAGCCCCGGGAGAAGCTGAGTCGGCCCTGTCAACAGCCGGTCCCCCTTGTCGCAGGTGCTGGTGGACAGCACGGAGGAGCAGCAGCCTCTCGCGGCGGCGGAGGAGTTGTCTGCCCAGAAGCGCGAGCAGAGACTGCGCAAATTCCGGGAGCTGCATCTGAAGCGGGTGAGTACACCCAGCTAAGACCTGTCAGTGGTCAGGCCCCTGCGTGTACGTGGGGGGGACGAAGAAATCGCATCAGCGTGCTGAACAGACCTGCACAACTAGATGAAAGATCTATCCCGCACAGCTGGTTCTCAAGCCTGGTATCACATTGTAATCACTTTTGAAAATATACTTGTCCCTTGAACAACGCCTGGGTTAGCCCCCTCGGTCGAAAATCCACATAAAACTTTGGATTCTACAGTCGGCCCTTCTCATACTTAGAGTTAACCAACCAAGCAGAATGAAAACAGTTTTAGTTACACATACATTTTCGACTGTGTGATAACCCTGATGTTGTTCAAGAATCAGATGTATTTTTTTAAATATATTTTTTAATGTTTTTATTGACTTTTTTTAGAGAGAGGGGAAGGGAGAGAGAAATAGAAACATCCATGTGAGAGAGAAACATCCCTGGGCTGCCTCCTGCATGCCCCCTACTGGGGATCGAGCCCGCAAAGGGGAGCCTCTGGAGCAGCAAACCAGTGCAGCCCAACACATTTTTCTGGACTCCATACAAATGCAGATCTAGGTAGGCAGTTCCCTTGATTAAAATCCTTTGATGGCTCTCTGTTGATTTTAGGATAAATGAGATCCCCTTGTTAATGTGTCTTACCTGAACCTCAAAGAAGGCAAGATCTGTTTGGATTGATTTTCATGTTTCAGCTACAGACTTTCTGTGTTATTATTTTAGAATGAAGCCCGTAAGTTAAATCACCAGGAAGTCGTGGAAGAAGATAAAAGACTTAAATTACCTGCAAATTGGGAAGCCAGAAAAGCTCGTTTGGAGTGGGAACTACAGGAAGAAGAAAAGAAAAAGGTTAGGAACATCTCTGCTGTCTTCATAAGTGGGTTACTCAGTTCTTCTGTTGTATTGACACAGAACATGGTGGTTTTGTACACTGGCGCTGGAGCCAGACTGCCAGAGTTTGGATCTTGGCTCTGCTTTTTACTAGTTGCAAGCAACACTTTGGGTGAGTTATCTAACCTGTCTGTGCCTCTGTTTTCTCATCTCTAAAATGGAGACTGTGATAATAATTGAATTAATTATGAGTTAGATGAGTCAGTGCTTTTGAAACATTAAAACAGGTTCTGACACCTGACAGATGTTAAATAAGTATTATTTTTAAATTAGTGTGCTTAGCCCTGGCTAGTTTGGCTCAGCAGTTAGAGAGTCAGCCCGAGGAACAAAGAGTCGTGGTTTGATTTCTGGTCAAGGGCATGTACCTTGGTTGTGGTTCAGTCCCTGGCCCTGGTCTGGCTTGTGTGGGAGGCAACCAGTCGATGTGTCTCCCCCCCCCCACCTCCCACTCTGTCCGAAGATAAATGGAAAAATATCCTCAGGTGAGGATTGAAAAACAAATAAATAAATTGGTGTACGTATTTCTTATATATCATAGCACATTCTTGAATTTTCTTTCTCTCTCTCTCTCTCTATATATATAGTTAATCCTCAACCAAGGATATTTTTTTCCATTGATTTTTAGAGTGGAAGGGAGGGGGAAGGAGGGAGAGAGAGAGAGACAGAGAGGGAGAGAGAGAAAGAGAAGCATCAATGTGAGAGAGACACATCAATTGGTTGCCTCCTGCATGACCTCGACCAGGGCCGAGGATCAAACCTGCAACTCAGGTACATGCCCTTGACCGGAATCAAACCTACAACCCTTTGGATTGTCGCTCTAACTGTTGAGCAACATTGGTGAGGGCTTTCTTTTAATATTAATCATTATTTTATTTTTTAATCCTCACTTGAGGACATTTTTCTCTTTATCTTCAGATAGAGTGAGAGGGAGAGAGAAACATCGACATGAGAGGGACACATTGACTGGTTTTCTCCCACATGACCCCGACCAGGGCCAAGGTCGAACCGCAACTGAGGTACGTGCCCTCGGCCAGAATCAAACCCACGATTCATTGGTCCGATGCTCTATTGCTGAACCAAACTGGCCAGGGCAATTAATCATTATTTTAAAAGTATTGCTAGGGCCCGGCCAGTGTGGCTCAGTAGATTGAGCATCGTCCCATGGACTGAGAGGTCCCAGTTCGATTCCCAGTCAGGGCATATGCCTGGGTTGTGGACTCAATCCCCAACAGGGGGCATGTAGGAGGCAGTTGATTGATGTTTCTCTTTCACATCACTGTTTCTATCTTTCTTCCTTACTCTCTCTCTAAAAAAATCAATAAAGCCCTGGCCGGTTTGGCTCAGTGGTTGGAGCATCGGCCTGTGGACCAGAGAGTTCCGGGTTCGGTTCCCCCTTGGGGCATGCACCAAAAAAAAAAAATCAGCCCTGGCTGGTTTGGCTCAGTGGTTAGAGTGTCGGCCTGCGGTCCAGAAAGAACCGGGTTCGTTTCCCTCTAAGGGCGTGTGCCTCGGTTGCAGTTTGTCTCCAGCCCTGGTTGGTTGTGCAGGTGGTAGCCACTCGATGTGTCCCTTTCATGTTAATGTTTCTTTCTCTCTCTTCCTCTCTCTCCCTCCTACTCTGTCTGAACAAAAAAATGGAAAAATGTCCTCGGGTGAGGATTAAAAAAAAAAAACAATAAAAACATATTAAAGAAAAAAAAGTGTTACTAGATAACTTCATTCAATCTTTCTTGATTTAAAGTAGGTCAAATAATTGCTTGTATCATAATTGCAAGTTTCAGCTTTTTTCTTTTTTAGGACTGTGCAGCAAGAGGGGAAGACTATGAGAAAGTGAAGTTACTGGAGATCAGTGCTGAAGATGCAGAAAGATGGGAGAGGAAAAAGAAGAGGAAAAACCCCGACCTGGGATTTTCAGGTAAAATTGGTTTTTACTTTATTGAAAGGGCTTATTAGGTAAGCACTGCCTTCAGTGTTTTTGGTTTATAAAAGGATACACCCCTTCAGGGATATTCTCTAAGAGGCATAAACCCAAGAAAATACAAATATGTCTCCTAGGGCAGCGGTAAAGGCTGTCCTTCAGTCAGCTGGATTCTTTTATTCTTCATGGTAAAACTAATCAAGGCTTGTATTATCAGCATCTTCAGGATAGAAGCTATGTTTAGATTGGTGTCTTGTGCATATATTACTAATCAAAATTTTGATGTTTTTTCTGAATCATAATGACCAAACAGGGAAGTATATTATCTTTGATTCTCATTTTCTTTCTAGATTATGCTGCTGCCCAGTTACGCCAGTATCATCGGTTGACGAAACAGATCAAACCTGACATGGAAACGTATGAGAGATTGAGAGAAAAGCAGTAAGTTGACAGTAATGCATGTTTTTTTCTTTTTTTTTATCCTGAGGTAATGTAGATATATTGTGTGTGTGTGTGTATACACACACATACATACACACATCAATAATGCTTAGGTCTGGGTTAGCTGATAGCTGTCTGAGAATGATTTCTGGTCTTAACACTATTTTTTTTTATCCTCACCCGAGGATATTTTTCCATTTTTTGTACAGATAGAGTGGGAGGGAGAGAAGGGAAGGGAGAGAGAGAGAGAAACATCGATGTGAAAGGGACACATCGAGTGGCTGCCACCCGCACGACCAACCAGGGCCGGGGACAAACTGCAACCGAAGTACGTGCCCTTAGCGGGAACCGAACCCGGGTCTCTCCGGACCGCAGGCCGATGCTCTAACCGCTGAGCCAAACTGGCCAGGGCTATTTTTTTTTTTTTTTAAACATTGATGTGAGAGACACACCAATTGATTGTCTCCCTCATGACCCCGACCAGCCCGAACTACAACCGAGGTACGTGCCCTTGGCTGGAATCGAACCCACGACTCTTTGGTCCTACAGCTGATGCTCTAGCTGCTGAGCCAGACTGGCCAGGGCTTAACACTATTTTTAAAAAATAATAATGTATTGTTGATTTTTTAGAGAGGAAGGGAGGTAGAAACATTGACATGAGAGAGAAACATCGATTGGCTGCCTCCTGTTCACCCCCTACTAGGGGATGGAACCCGCAACCCAGGCATATGCCCCTGACCTGGTATGGAACCAGGACCTCTCATTCCGTGGGACCATGCTCAGTCCACTGAGTCACATCGGCCAGGCTTGGTCTTAACACTATTTATCGCTTACTCCACAGCAGTTAAGCTCACCACCTGGTTATTCTCAAGCTGGGTGTTTTACGATTGGATGTTGAGTGGTTAGCATGAGGCTATCATAGTCTAAGATATTCTTTTATGAGGCAAACGCTTTAGTGTGAACTTTTTTTTTTTTTGTAAAGGACCAGCTAGTAAACATTTTAGACTTTGTGGACTATATGGTCTCTGTCATAACTACTCAGCTCTGCTGTTGTGATATGAAAGCAGCATAGAGGATATATAAACAAAGGGTGTGTGTGTGTGTGTGTGTGTGTGACTGAGTCCCAGTAAAACTGTTTGCAAAAACAGATGGTGAAGCTTGCTGACCCTGCTTTAGTGGAAAGAGAAATAACCTGAACTTGGAAGCAAGTCCTTAGACCTCTGGTACTTGACTCTTTTACCTATTGAATGAAGGTGTCAGAGTGTGATTTATTAGATTCCGTCCAATTCTGTATTTTTTAAAAAATTTAAGGTAGAATCCCATAGTAAATATATGTATATATTTTACCTCTCACCGTGAATGGATGAAAATGTGGCTCACTTGTAGTGTTACCATAAGTCCATTTTGTTGTCTTTTCAGTGGAGAAGAGTTTTTCCCAACATCCAACAGTCTGCTTCATGGAACGCATGTGCCTTCCACACAGGAAATCGATAGGATGGTTACAGATCTGGAAAAACAGTAAGTACCCAGGAGAACAGCAGACATTTTAAATGCTTAATGGCAAAATGGACATAATGAACTTAGAATGAATCGTATAGACATATACTTGCTGATTTCTGATTTAGCATCTGTAGTGGTTTTGGGGACAGACAAGTGTGAGTTGAGTCCATATGATTTGGAATGGAGAAGCAGAATATGATAAAATTGAATTGTTATATTTGAGGCAGGGAAGGGTCTAAAGAAAATTTTTCTTTAAGAACTTTAACAGTCAGTCACTCTGCTCTTTGATTTGGAGAAGTAGGAATGTTCTAGTAAATGTATCTTCTGTACATTTGTGTTTCTTAATACTGATAGGAATCAATATTAGGCAGAGCGAAATGAATTTGTATTTTAGGAGTTAATACACGTGAAGTATTAAGAATAGTGTCTAGCCCTGGCTTAGTTGCTCAGTGGTTAGAGCATCAGCCTGTGGACCTAAGGGTCTCGGGTTCTATTCCTAGTCAAAGGCATGTACGTAGGTTACAGATTTGATCCCTGGCCCCAGTCAGGGGCATGTGGGATGCAACCAATTGATGTGTCTCTCTCACATTGATGTTTCTCTCTCCCCCTCCCTTCCTCCCTTCCTCCCTTCCTCCCACTCTATCTAAAAAAAAAAATCAATGGAGAAATATTCTCGGGTGAGGATTAACAACAACAAAAATAATGCTTGTCTATCATATACTGTGCACTCCATATTAGCTGTGGTTATTACTAATATAATTATTGTAATCATCTTCCTTTAAGTAATACTTTATGTGTCCAGTTTCTAACAATGTTATCCTTGCTGTTTTAATGATGAGTTTTTGTATATTACGGGATTTCATCCAAGGTTGTGCTGTTAATGAGCAGTTTCAACTTGATCTTTATGAAAACTGCTCCCGCCACTCTTCAAAGTGTACTCAGTGCACTGATTTTATTAACTACAGTGATACCTCGGTTCTCGAACATAATTCGTTCCAGGAGGACGGTCGAGAACCGAATTGTTCGAGAACCGAAGCAATGAAACCCAATAGGAAAGCGTGACTCCACAAAGCGTGACTCTCTCTCTGCACTCACACTGATAACGCAAGCAAGGCGCGCTGGGCCGAATGAACGCCATTCGGCTCAACTCGGAAGTTCGAGTTCCAAATATTTGTTCGGATTCCGAGACAAAAGTTTCTCGAATCCTGATTTGGTCGAAAACCGAGGCGTTCGAGAACCGAGGTATCACTGTATTTGGCCATGTTCTAATAAGACCAAAAAAGAAGGCCACCCCTGGCGAGGTAGCTCAGATGGTTGGAGCATCCTGATATGCTAAGGTTGAGGGTTCAATTCCCAGTTAGGGCACATGCAAAAATCAGTGAATAGATGAATATATATATAAGTGGAACAACAAATCGATGTCTCTCTCTCTCATTTTTCTCTCTCTAAAATTAATAAATAAAATTTTAAAAAGAAAACAAATTTAAAATTTTGTAAATTATTTTTTCTTTCCCTCAGAATTGAAAAACGAGACAAATATAGCCGGAGACGACCTTATAACGACGATGCAGATATTGACTACATTAATGAAAGGAATGCCAAATTCAACAAGAAGGCAGAAAGATTCTATGGGAAATATACAGCTGAAATTAAACAGAATTTGGAAAGAGGAACAGCTGTTTAATCTCCTTCAGGAACTGTTTTTAGAAGCTTGAGAATGGAGTGAAAATTTCTGCTAGCAAAACTCAGTCTATGCCTTCCCACTCAGCATTTAAAAATAAATGTTTTTTCTTAAACAAATATTTCCAAATTTTTGTGCTTGGATATAAGATGTATTTCTTGTAGTGTACTTTTTTTGTAATAATCTTCTTTGTATAAATTCTAATTATATTATTTTTGTATGTATTTTAAATGCGTGATTGTTTAATCTTTGAAGCATTTTGGGCTTAAGGTTGCCAGTACGAAACAAATTCAGTCATTGTCGCTTTGAATAATGTTAGGAATTTGATAGAATCTAGAGCCGGACTCAGAAACCATATGGGGTTGTAGATTCTGAAGCTGAGGACAGTGGTGAGGACGGTGTGGCAGTGGTGAGGACGGTGTGGCAGTGGCTACCGGAGGGCGGGTGCAGGCTGCATCCCAGGCTGCTGATGACCAAGTTCAGGAAGAAATATCCTGTGACTATTGACCATGTACTTGTTCCCTTTTTTACAAAGCAAATACTGTGGAATAAAATCCCTACTAAAACCTCTGTTGATCATTTTAGAAAATATTTGTATATATACACATATACATGCTTCTGTTCCATGAACTTAAACTTTTTTATTATGGAAATTCCAAACATACTCAAAAGGAGACAATAATACAATGAACCACATATACCCAGTACCCAGCTTCAGTAATCATCTCATGGTCAATATTGTTTCATCTTTATTTCTATCTACTTTCCCCTCTATGCCTCCCATGTTCTTTTGAAGCAAATACTAGACGTATAATTTCATCCATAAATATTTCAGTATGTATCTAAAAGATACATGCTTAAAAAACCCTATAGTACTATTGTCATAGCAAGAGTGCAATTTTAATGAAAGTCCAGAGAGCTTGATATAATTTTTCCTACATGTTGACTAAAATGTTAAACATGTAATTTGGATATTTTAAGTTAGTAGAAATCTGAAACTTAGAGAAAATTTCACAAATGTTTTGGCTTTAGTGTTTAAAGGTAATTTAACATTTAATAGCACCTGGTGATTAGTCCCTTTTAAAATCGTAGTACTTTCTATTTCTGTTCTCATTTTGTTTCCTCTCCTAGCACTTCTATGTGCGATTAATCAGGTCTGGTCATGGCCTTGATACTACCTCTGAAAATAGGTTGAATATGTCTCTTTCCATATCTAATACCTCAATTCAATTCTTTGATCCTGACTATTGCAATAGCCTGAAAAAAATTAACTTCAAAAAATTGTCAAATTGAATCTGGCAATGCATTTAAAAGAATAATTCACTAACAGCCAGCAGGGTTTATTCTCAGCATGCAAGAGTAGCTTGTAGACCTGTCCAGTGTCAATTCTTTCTTCACTATCAACCAGAACCCTGATTTTTTTTGTGAGTTTGTGGTAAAATTCCCGGCTAAACACTTGCCTTCCAACACCAGCTTGCTGTTACAGGTGGTCAAATGTTATAGTCTGGCTAATAAGACACAATCTAATTTATTCTGAGAAATCTTTCGTTTTCCTGCTACGGTAGTTGCCATTCCCTGTTTCTCCCTTCCTTCTTTCTGCTTAGACCACATACATGAGGCCTGGAGTTGTAGCAGCCAGTTTGTGCTATGAAGTAACAAGCATGAAGATGAAAGGCAACATGTGGAGGAGATTGGAGCAGACTTGGGCCCCTGCTGGCATTGCACGGGCCCTAGGTGCCTACCTCTCATCTTCCTGTTTTATGACATCGAATACATTTATGACTAACGCATGATTCAGTTTCAGGGTATCTGTAAATTAAATGTTATATATACAAAAATCAATAGTTTTTCTCCACTCTAGAAATAAGCCCCTAGAAATGGAGATGGGAGGATATAGTCCAGTCACAATAATAAATACTATGACATTTAGACAAATTTAATGAAAAAGCATTGGATCTATGTGGAAAAAAAAAAAAGATAAAATGTCACTGAAAGAGCAAACAGGAGTCTTCTACTTCCAACCAAGATGGAGCGACAGGACATGGACTTGCCACTGAAACAATCAAAGAGGAGAGCAAATATGAAATGACAGTTTTCAAGATACAGGGAGCCGGGTAAGGAAGGCCAGTGATCCGCCCGGCTGCCTGCCTTGGAGGACTTCCGGGCTATGGCACCTGGAGGGGGAGCCCAGGAGGACCCCAAGGGTTCCTTTGGTTCAGCATATAGAACAGAAAGTCTGGGGCGACCACAGTGGCAAGAGCTCAAGGCACAGAGTGCTGGAGGAGACAGCCTCACACAGATCCCTGGAAGTCGGCAGAGGAAGTAGGATGTGTGTGAGGAAAGGACTTGAGGCCGAGGAAAGAACCACCTAAGGATTTGGGGGAACAGCGCCTGGCCAGGACTAGTTTTTTCCCACCAACCAACAGTAGAGAATTAATTACCTTCAGACTAAACACTGTTTGGGTCTTGCCTAACAATCTCTGAAGACCTGAAAGAATCCAACTGTTTCTAAGTAATTTAACTACATCCTAAAACAAAGATCGAGGATAATTACTAAAAAACAAAACAGAACAAAAAAACAATAACAACACAACTGCCTCAGGTAGGTGGCTCAGTTGGTTGGAGCATTTTCCTTTTCCACCCAAATGGTTGTGGGTTCGATTCCTGGTCAGGGCGCATATGCGAGACAACCATTAATGTTTCTCTTTCACATTGATGTTTCTTTCTCTCTCCCCTCAATGAACAGATCCTCTGGTGAGGATTAAAAACAAAACAAAACACAAAACCCCACAACTCTCCAGTACCCAACAACCTCAAATTCACAATGTCCAGCATCTAATCAGAGAAACAGGAAAATAGGACTCACAATGAGAAGCAAAATTAAACTTACCAAGAACTGACACAGTTGTTCAAATTAAGAGAAGAGGAAATTAAAACAGTTGTTATAACTGTACTCCACATGATTAAGAAGTTAAGGAGAGACATGAGGATATAAAAAGGCCCACATTGAACTGGTAGACATGAAAATACACATCTGAGATGAAAAATACACTGGGTTGCTCTGGCCGGCTTGCTCAGTGGTTAGAGCGTCGGCTCTCGGACCAAATAGTCCTGGGTTTGATTCCGGCCAAGGGCACGTACCTCAGTTGCAGTTTGTCCCCGCCCTGGTTGGGGTCCCACAGCGGGTAACCAATCAATGTGTGTCTCTCACATGGATGTTTCTCTTTTTCTCTCTTCCCCCTCTCTCCCTCCCACTCTTTCTGAAGATAAATGTAAAAATATCCTTGGGTGGGGATAAAAAGAAAACCACACTAGGTTGTCTCAACCCCAGTGCTGCTCAGTCCCCTTTGCCACCCTCATTCTGTTCACCTCCCCATCAGCGGTCCTGGCTGGGTTATGCTCCTCTAACAATGCTCCTCTCTCCTGCTCCTGCCCGTCAGGGCAGGGCTGCCTCCCCATTGGCCCAAAGCTGTGACATCTTAGTGGGACAACTTCCTCATTGGCTTATTTATTTCCAAGGCCTTCTCAGAGAAGTGAGGCTTAATTATTGCTCCACTCAACTGTGTGCTCTAAATTGGGAGGCCCAGTTGAAGTTTTTGGCCAGGTGGTGGAGCTGAGCATAACAACATGATCTCCAATAGTTAAAATTCACTGTAGTGTGGCAGTGTTCCAAGCTGGCTCTGGAGTGAGTTTGTCCCCACTGGAGTCCTCTTAAGGCCTTAGTGGCGATAATAGCACTAACCTCACAGGATTATCGTTGGTACTAAATGGATAATCCATGCAAAGTACTTAGCGCGGTGGGGTGTGCAGGGTAAATGCCCATGCGTGTTGGCAGTTAATGTACCACCCTCACAGTCCTCAATAAGACTCTTGCTCTCTCCTTTCTCAGGGCAGAAGCACTGTGCAAAAGCCAGTAAAAGCATGGACTAAGGTGCCAAGCAGCCTGGATTCGAATGTCAGTTCTTTCATTTGCCAGGCAAAGATCTGGGACGGCACCTGCATTAGTCCGCTAGGGCCGCCACCACAGAATACCACAGACGGGGGCCCTACCCAACAGAAACCACTCCTCACCGTTCGGAAGCCTGGGAGTCCAAGGTCAAGAGCAGCAGGGGTGGCTTTGGGTGAGAGATCTCTCCTTGGCTTGCAGATGGCACCTTCTTGCTGTATCCTCACATGGCCGTTCCTTCCTGTTCCTGCACTCGTGGTGTTTGTTCCCTTCTTTTTTTATTGTTATTTTTTATTTTATTAAAAAATGTTTCTTTTTTTAAATTCCTTTTTTTTTTTTTTAATCCTCACCTGAGGACATTTCTGCATTCATCTTCAGGCGGGAGGGAGAGAGGGAGGAAGGGAGAGAGAGAGAGACATCGATGTGAGAGAGACACACTGATTGGCCACCACCCACACGACCCCAACCGGGGTGGGGACAGACTGCAACTGAGGTACGTGCCCTTAGCGGGAAACGAACCTGGGACTCTTGGGTCTACAAGCTGATGCTCTAACCACTGAGAAAACTGGCCAGGGCTAAATTCCTTTTTTAAATTGTCTATCCTTGAGAACACATCCTTTTTAAATTTAACTTTATTTTTAAAATTTTTATTATTATTTGTTTTAATCCTCACCCGAGGATTTTTTTTTTTTTTTTTTTACATTTATCTTCAGACAGACTGTGTGGAGAGAGAGAGAGAGAGAGAGAAACATCAATGTGAGAGAGACACATTGATTGGTTGCCACCTGCATGACCTGGAGACGAACTGCAACTGAGGTACATGCTTTTGGCCAGAATCGAACCCGGGACTCTTTGGTCCACAGGCCAATGCTCTAACTGCTGAGCCAAACCAGCCAGGGCTGGGCTATTGTTATTTTTAAAATAAGGACATCAGTCCTATTGGATTAGGGCCCCACCTTTATGACCTCATTTAACTTTTTTTTAAGTATTTTTTTCAATATGTTTTTATTGATTTGTGTTTTTTAGAGAAAGAGGAAGGGAGAGAGAGAGAAACATCAGTGCAAGAGAGAAACATGGACCCATTACCTCCCATACACACCCCGACTAGGGACCAAAACCGAAACCTGGGCATGTGCCCTGACCAGGAATCAAACTGGTGACCTTCTGGTGCACAGGATGATACTTAACCAACTGAGCCACACTGGTCAGGGCCTATTTAACCTTAATGCCTTCTGTAAAGGCCTTGTCTCCAAATACAGTCACATTGGGGATTAGGGTTTCAGCATATAAATTTGAGGAGGACACATTTGGCCCATAAAATCAACCACCCACTTTGTGTTTCAGTTTCCCCAGGTCTAAAAAGTGTTAATGATACCTACCTCAGAGGGTTGTTGGGAGGATTAAATGAGTGTAATGATCTTACACCAGTGCCTGTTCATAGTGGTTACTATGTGAGTTATAATAATGCCATATTACTGAACATTCAGAAATCTCCCAGGGAGGTAGGATTTCCACTCCCTGCCCACAAAAGTCTTGGCTTCTTTTTTCCGACCAGTACAGACTTCCTCTTTCTGCCAATCTGGAGCTTTGCAGCAGTAGGAAACCCGGGAGCTTTGAAGCCCCCCATCTCCAGACCCCTCTTCACCCCAGCACTCGTCCAGTGGCAGTGACCGAGAGCTGCTCTGGGCCCTGGCCTGCTCCTCCGGGCT